AAAAAAAAAAAAAAGCTAAAGAGGATAGAGAGAAACACTGTAAACTGATGATATATGGCGGGGATAATAATCAATGTAATGAAACAAGCTATATGAATGGTTGAAAGTGAAGCTGATGATGTGCCCTGTAAACTTTACTCAATCCAAAATAAAAACATTTAATTAAAAAAAAATAAAGTGTTGAAGAGGAAAAAAAAAACAACTTGTAGTTTAGCTTAACTAGTAAAAAAGGACATATTGTCAGGAGGGAACAGTTGCTGGAGAAGGATATCATGTTTGGTAAGATGGAGGGTCAGAGAAAAAGAGGAATACCTCCAACGAGATGGATTGGCCAGGTGGCTGCATTGATGGACTCAAGTATGGCAGCGGTAGTGAGGTTGGCCCAGAATCAGACATTGTTTCGTTCTGCTGTGCATGCTATGAGTCAGTTCTGACTTGATGGCACCTGACAACAACAACAACAAGTAAAAAAGGTCAGCCCTGAACAGAATGCTCTTCTATGAGCTGTCTCTGTGGGATCAAATTGACAACAGCAACTCAAGAGATTAGAGAGGAACCTCAGCTGGCAGTGAGTTAATTAGGCAGCAATAACTCAGAAAAAGAGGGTGAAAATGGTTGCATAACTTGAAGAATATAATCAGTGTACTAAATTGTTGAATTGGTATATGTTTTGGTATTTATTGATTCCATTGTCTCCTTCCCTCCTGCACTCGGTGGTTGTTGTGGTGGTGGTTGTGTGCTGTGAAGTCACTTCTGACTCATAGCGACCCTGAATAGTGTTTCCAAGGTTTTAAATCTTTACAGAAGTAGAAAGCCTCATCTTTCTCCTGTGGGAAGGCTGGTAGTTTCAAACAGCCGACCTTGAGGTTAGCCACCCAACTCGTAACCACTACGCTGGAAGTTGTTCTCTGTGAACTGTAGAATGTTTTTTTATCCCTTGCCTCTGGCCAAACCCTCTTCTCTAGTAGCGATGACCAAAAATGTCTCCAGATATTGCCAAATGTTGCCTAGTGGGCAAAGTTTTCCTCTACTGACAACCACTGGTATAGAATATAATGTAAGTGATGCTTCCTCGAGTAACGTAATGTAATGATCCTGAGTATTCAATGTCAAAATTGCACTTCTTTGTTTTCAAGTGTCCTCTTTCTCTAATATATCCTCTATTAAATATTTGACTCGATAACTGCAAAGGTCTTTTTGTGAAATGTATTTGCATTTAAAAGCACATTTGATTTTTATGTGGGACATTTTTTCTGTGAAAGTTATTTTGAGTTTCAAAATATTTATTCAGTCAGTAGGGGGCATAGCTAACTCATGTATCATTTTGTATTACTGTGTGCAAAATGATCATCCCAACTTAAACATGATAACATGAATATAATTTCTTTAGAATAAATCAGAACTCCTGGATTGGTGTTATAGGATAAGCACTGGACTGAGAACCACAAAGTTGGCAGTTCAAACCTACCAGCTGCTCCTCAGAGACTCTACACAGAGTCACTATGAGTCAGA